CAGAGCAGACAATTTATAGGGGAAAAAACCAAAACAATGATCAAGAAACATGAAAAGATGATGTATAGAACTCTGGAAATCAATAAGAAAAGTAATCCTACAGAATAATAGCAACAGAGCAGGCAATTTATAGGGGAAAAAACCAAAACAATGATCAAGAAACATGAAAAGATACTCAACTTCCCTAGCAATGAAACTGAAATAAAATGAAAACATCTTACTTCACACCCATCAAAAGGGCATAAATTTAAAAATCTGACATTCTCCAGCATTAGTGAGGATGTGGAACAATAGGAACCTCGCTTCTCCTGCCGGTAAGAGTGAAATCTTCAACAAACTATTGAAAGGGTGATTTTGCAATATCTAATATTTTGCAACTTTGCATGAGCTACACTTCTAAGGAGCAATTCTTTTTCAGGACAGAATCCCTAGAGAATCTCTCACTATGAACACAAGGAAACATGGATAAGAACTTTCAATGCAGAGTTGTCTGTAACAGCAAAAAATTGGAAACAACTTCATGTCCATCAATAAGAGAACAAATAATGTGGTATATTCAAACAGCAGAATACCTCATAGCTATTAAAATTAACAAATTAGAGCTACAAACATCAAATTAATAACTCTCACACACAAAAAAAGCTGAATAAGTTTCAGAATGACAAAAAATACACTATTTTCATGAAGTTTAAAAACATGCAAAACAATACATACAGTATATTTGTATGTGTAGTACTGTATATATACTATAAAATGAAATTTCTATCTATTGGGAGAATGTTTAACTCTGAGAAAGGAAGAAAAAGAATGGGATCAGCTAGATGCTAAAAATACTAGAGGATTTCAACTGTATCTTGAATGTTCTCTTAAAACAAAACGAATCAAGTATCAAATTAGGACTTGACATAGCTGGCTGGCAGAAATGGAAGTTTATATTTGTACCTTATGCTCAGAATATTTCATGGTTTAAAACAACTACAAAATATATTAATTAAAGTTAGTAACTATCTGATGGCATTAGGATTTCTGGTATACTACAAGAAAAATAAAGTATAGAAAATAATGATGTAGTGAGACTGGAAAAATTCGTACAGAATGTAAGAAATGACATCTTCCCTTTTAACACTAACCAGTAAGCCTTCCTACCATGGCTCTGTTTTCCATATTTCACTTTCCCCTTGGAATTATCTAAAAACAGCTGCCCCAAGCAGGCTCCACCTCAGGAGCCCTGTAACCCCTTTAAAGACTGGAGCCCCAATGCCCAGCAGCAGGAGTGTGGATATGTGAATAATTTCTCTGTTTTCCTCTCAGAACATCTTCAAGGAAATCTCATTATACAAAACAAAAAATGAATCCAGATCTGAAGAAATCCAATAAAATGTTTAAAGGGTTTATAGTTTCTGACTCCAAGATAGGAACTTGCCAGACTTCCTTACTTCCTAGCCTTAGCCTGCTTCCATTTGATGAATCACATATTATTATCAACTCTTGAGTGCCTCCCTAGACACCCTGACCTATCACAGCTTTTGTCAGAGGCTGAAAAAAGGCTTTCTTTCCACATATCAGAAAGACTGCTCACCCTCCAGTGAGACTCTGAACCTACCAAATGGAGTTTCATCTTTAAAGGCCCTTAATTATATATGGCCATATCACACATGTAACTAAGAAGTGGTTACTTCCTGCTGGTAGAAGTGCTGTAAAGGGAGAGGGAGAGGACAGTGTCAACAACATTACAGAGAAAGCTCCTCCAACCTAAGGTTCTTGTTTTCTCTTCAGGAAAGAGACTGTTTTAAATAATGGAGAATGTAAAGCATCTCAGGTATTCCTAGCACCACATTTATCACAGTATATTACAATTATATTTTTATGTGTGTGCAAGTATGCGTCCTCCGTTAGGCTGAGAGTTCCTTGAGGGCAGAAACTCATAGTTCATTTCTGTGTCCCCAGACCTTAACACAATGCCTGACTCATAGTAATCTTTCAATGCCTGTTTGTTGAATGAAGAGTGAACAAATGTATGACAAAGAAAAAATAATAATAAAAATCCGACTGAATCAAGAATAGATGAAAAAGACAATGACAGTGTAAAGGAACATTCCTGTAGACATCTTAAGTCAAATAACTTTTTTCTAAACTATATGTTTAGGGCCAATTTGAACTCAGTATTCCATTCCACTTTTTCTAATTCCATTCACTTGTCTAGAAGAAGTTACAGGAGAACCTCAATCAAATTCTCTTTCACCCTTAAAAATGCCTTTTGGATATTGAATTCAGTCACACAAGCTAAAAAATAAGTACTTGAAGCTTTGGTTGATGGCTTTGCCCATGAATTAATCTATACACTGCAATGTTTTGTTTTGTTTTGTTTTGTTTTTTTGTCTGAATAGCAGTGCCTCTTTTACTATAGTGGTACTATACTGTGATACACTCACCAATGCAGGGACCTGAGGGGAAGGTTTAGAAAAGCAAAACAGGCAAAGCAACACAGCCTACCTCTGTCTGAACAGCTCTCAGTCGGAAAACAATGAGCTTCCAGAAAAAATTTCCCTTGAAGAAAGAGTCCACAGTTTTTAAGTTTTAAAACCGTTTGTCTTATTCTATTTTGCCCCTTCTGTTTATTTCATTAGAATAAAATGATAAGTCTTCGCAATAGCAATAAAAAGTACAGGCCTCACAAAGGTGTTCAAAAGCAGAGGCTGAGCCTCTGCTTGATGCTTCCTAAATTTATGCCTGTCTCCAATGTCCATCTACCAAGAAAAAACTTGAACGAAATAACGGAAATATTTGAAGACTCTCTCAGGGTCAAGATATAATTATAAACACTTACATCCATATTATTTGACTCACATATTTGACTTTTGAACACGGTTTTGGGATTACATAACATTCCAAAATAGGGCACTTTCTAGACTCTCATAATTACAAAATTTTAACTGTAAAACAGGTGGCTCACTGCTAAGATGTGCAGTATTCTGTGTGACTCAGGCAGTTTCCTGCCATGCCTCTTTTCAAGTCCTGTCCTAAAAATCTACCTAAGGTTCTATTAACTACCGCTACAGAAATGTTTTCTTAGCAAGTTTGTTTTACTGTTATTCTAGTGACCGTAAGAAGTTTATATCCCGTTCATCGTATTCTCACTCTGTAGTCAACTGAGAGAC